GAGAATCTACAAGGTTTAAAAAGAGAACACAAGTTATTAGAGACCTTTTAAGTAAATCCTGCCCTGTAATAAAGTTTTATCTATTTAATATGTCTGACAGAAAGATATGTTTTTAAATGATCTCTAACCATTTTAATGGAGGTGTCATTTCAGATGGTATAGAACTCCTTTACTTAGCAGAAAATGATAGAATTAAATAACAGAGATTGGAAACTAAAGCTAAGGAAATTCATTCTATACATATATCAAATAATTAACAATTGAAAAAAGCAGATCTAAAGGTTTGCAAATTTTCCATTTGCAAACCTTTTTCCATTTCCATTTCCATTTTCCAGTTTTTAATGTCTCAATTTAAGGATTGGATGTATTTCTAAATTTATGCTCTGGTTGAACCAGAAGCTTGCTGCAGGGATTATAGGGTAATGCTCTATGGTTTATGTTAAGAAGGGAACTCAAATTAGCTAGAATATAACAGTTCCGTCTGTTCTTAAAATCTGTGAATCATCCGAGAACTTTTCCACCAAGCCCACAGAAGATAAGAATGAAGACTGCAAATATTTCTCAGGGAAAAAAAAAAAAAAAGGCAAATAATCCCTCTAAAAAAACACACACATACTTGAGGATTTCAGTAGTATCTTGAAAGTATAAAGTGCAGCTGCACCCTCAAGTTTCTTGCATACTGAGAAATTTGCATTAGAGCTGTAACGCCAACAGGGTTTCTGGCCCATTCTTCACAATCACAGTCACAGAATCACAGAATGGTTTGGGTTGGAAGGGACCTTGATGGTCATCCAGTTCAAACGCCCCCTGCCATGGGCAGGGATGCCCAGGAACCAGGCCCAGGTTGCCCAGAGCCTCACCCAACCTTGCCTTGAATACCTCCAGGGATGGGGCATCCACAACCTCTCTGGGCAACAAGCAGAGTTTCGTGTAGAGTCGGCCTCTCTCCTGCTTTTTTAACCTACCAAACTAATTCCTCACTCTCACACTTAACATTTCCCTTACCATTCTGTCTCTTTTTGTCCAGTTTGACATACCAGGCCCATCTGCAGGGTAGTGGTCAAGGCCACCATGCGATCTCCCCTGGAGCTCAGAGAGGAAATCACCCTGGTTCCAGTCAGTGACTTAGGCCCATACTGCTGGCACTAAACTCACTGCCACATGCAGGACCCTACAGCCCTATTAATGACCATAACAACGTTGTCTTTGGCAGGATCATCAGCACGTGTCAGCACTTCAGCAGTTCTGGCATTTTATGAGTAAATTCACATGACAAATGGTATGAACCTCATGGCCTAAGCAGGCAACCAAGAAAAGCATAAGCTTGATACCAACTTTTAAAATGTTTTAAAGAGATTTAGGAGCCCTAATGCTCAGTGTCAAAGCAACTGGTCAGGAATGAAGACTCATTGCAACAAGTTGAATTTGCTTACAGCTCTGATTGTGTTAGTGTAGTCCACCTCAGGCTCATAGAGGTGAGGGAACAAAGGAACAAGCTGCAAGCATGTCTGCAATTTGGTTCAAAGGCCGAGACTCTTCTCAGGCGGGTACTATTCATGAGCCCCTGCTGGCTTGGCTGCCCACAGCTGAAGGTTTATTCTTAATTTCAGGAATGCGAATCCTCACGGATGTGGTGATGGTTTCAATTTAGTTAGGAGATCAATTTTGTCCTCCAACATTTCTCTCTGTGGATAGGGCAGTTTCCTGATGAGGTGGGCGAGGGGTCAAGTGATGTCTGATTTTGTCCTCTGACATTCACTTGAGGTATGCAAAAGACTTGCCTGGATTAGACTGGTCCCCCTAGCTCAATAACCTGTGACTACATGAAGTGCAGGATGTTACAGTAAGAAATGCTACTGTAGGCATTTATGGGAGAACATACTTTCCTATCCTTTCCCCAATAATTTGAATTCCCCCCAACACAGTTACACAGTTCCATCGTCATGTGAATGAAGCACAAGGCGATACTGAGCTCCTTCTGCTCTGCAAGCTCATAATAAAAAGTGAGAGGAAGCATACTGCTGGCCAGGCTGACTGCTGGACGAGGTGATCTTGGAGGTCTTTTCCAACCTGAATGATACTATGATGCTATACAGATGTACTGGTGTAGTGCTGCATCTAAGCCCATAGGCTGGTGCTCATGATGACACGCTACTTGAGACATATACTGATAAGTCATGGAAGCACTGTGATGTGCCCAGTGGCTTTACAAGCTTGAAGCTTAGTAAGCTCAGGCTTCTCCATAACCTGCCCTATGTATCAAAGCACATACTTGCTCTTTGGTTAAGCCATGACCAGCAAAATAAACTCAGGCAAACACAAACCATCAAAAGATCTGGGATTTCTTCCCACATCAACAAGGATTGCAAAGAGTATTTCTTTGACACATTTACCCAGCAAATCCAGAACAATATGCATGCATATTCTGGGAAACTACTTCCAGCCATTCCAATGAATAGACATTTTCTCTGAGAACAAACATGGACCCTAAACTACCCTGCTGTTCCATGGGAAGGCAATCAGATCTTAATATAGCAAATGTACAAGAACATAATTCAGCCCAGAAAGTCAAGGTTTCTACTTCTTTCAAAAACTGATGGATTACAGTTTACTCATTTTGCCTGTAACTTTTATTACTAAAACTCTGAATATCTTGAGAGATGCTGAACATCTATCTTTCTTTCCCATGTCCTTTCTTTAGGAATATATTTCCCAAATATGTACAAACTTTTGCCCTTTCTACCTACCAAGCTCTGCTAAGCTATTCAGTTAGGTCATTATTACAATTTCCCTTTTATTTTTAACCTTCCATATTCTTAGGAAGTCCTTAAGGATTACAAGATCCAGCTTGTGCCCCACAACAAGGCCTTATTAAAATGACCTTGCTCCTTATGTAGTACAAATGACTATTGCTCAGCTGAAGCCAATGAAGGAACACTGATTTATGACATCAGTCTGTTCATTATCTTGATTTCTGTTGACTGACCTTTTAATGAAAATGAGCATACAGAGGGAAAAAAATGAAATGGGAGTAAGACAACATATATTATGAAGATGAACAGTTTTTCTACCTTGCTGAACACAAAGATTTCGCTTACAAGAGAACCCCTGGGGAAATTAGGACACGTCAATAGTCTCCAACCAGCCTGTAAATAAACTATAATAAACGATGAATTTCTGTAGCAAGCAAGCAAATCTGCACCAATTAATGATAATATAAATAGAAATCTATTGCTTATATATTGCTTATATGCAAACTTTTCTTTCAGTTAGATGCCAAAGTATGGCTGATTTTCTTTATTAAGGGTATCACAATCTGGCCAAATAATGTGGCTGAAAACAGGCATCACTTTGTGACACAAAGCCACCATAACTTCAAACAGCTCCATACCACAATATTGGTTGTATGATCTTGAAGGAGCTGGAACATCCCATGATCAGATGGCAACAGACACTCATTCACCCATAGATCTAACAATACTACTATACTCCATACTAGCCAACAATGCTAGCAATAAATTGTATGCAAAAATTTAAAGTCAGACACCTTAGGAATGATTTATACAGATGGGTAGAATAAACCAGTTTCTCAGACCAGTCTGACAGCATCCATACCATACGTGAAAACAGCTAAGCCAAGCAAAGCATTTTACAACTGTGGAAAAACAACTGTTTCATGCTCCAAAGGGTGAGGGACCAAGGTAGTAAATGGAAGTCGTAGCAAAACAAGCAGAGCAGTCTATCAACTTAAGGTATCTCTGAGAGTGACATATATTAGACCTGAATGGTATTCCAGAAAAAGAATGACAATAGATAATGCAAGCACTAAAACCAGGGGGATAAAATCCTGTCTCCCTTGAAGTCAGTGGAAGAGTTTCACCGTCTTCAGAATCAGGATTCACCCTTGAGTGCTTTTATCCTCAAATATTTACAGTGAAGAGGTAACTGGCTTTCAGCACTCAGCTCCTTTATTTGCTGCATGCTTTTAAAAGAAAAAAGAAGTTATAGGATTTTAGGAGCTATATTTAACAAATAACTCCACTGGCCTTTCATGCATTTCAGGAATCAGTTAACAATAATGATTAAAATAAACAATTTCACTGATTTTCATTGTTGTTGCTGAATTGTCTCCAAACATTTCTTTTACTCCCTCTTTTCCTCCCATACTATCTTCCTTCCTTCACTCAGTCTGGCCAAAGTTACTGCGAAGAGACTCTCTTCTTCATTTCCCTTCCCTGCCTCTTTCCAAGACTTAGTTGAAAGTCACTGTTTCTTTTAACCATCCCTGGAAGTCTTTAAAAGACGTTTAGATGTAGAGCTTAGGGATATGGTTTAGTGGGGACTGTTAGTGTTAGGTCAGAGGTTGGACTCGATGATCTTGAGGTCTCTTCCAACCTAGAAATTCTGTGATTCTGTAACCAATACAACAACAAGCAGCATCTCTTGTTTCATTCAGGCATGTGAATTTAGAAAAAGAATAAATTTAGTCCATGATACTCATTACAATTACACCATCTAAGACCTCCTAAACACACAACACCGTTCTTTTGGTTTACTTGCATGTTTATCCTTAAAAGTGGCAGGAAAAAAAAAAAAAAGTTTTTAAGTGTTCGTAGGCTTTCAGAGAAGAGACTGTTAAAATCCAAGGGAATCTGTCACCATAAATGATGGAATCCCACAAGACAAGAGAAGGGATTAGCCTGACAAAACATCTGCCTATGTCAACACACAGTGTCAAGTGAAACAAAGCTCCACCAGGCTCTGATCCAGGCAGCTAAATGTCTGCACTCTGCCACCACCTCCTCCCGACAGCTGGGCACGCTTGCAAAGTATGTCTGCTTCTTCCTGACACTGCTGAAAGACTGCAGAGCTCAGCGTAAGCGTGGTTCCTTGACAGCTCTGCCTTAGGACCTCACAGCAAAAGCATGCACAGAGCTACAAATTCCTTTGCTGCAAATAGATAAAGATTTTATTTCTCCCAAGAAGGCAATCTTACTTACTTGGGATAGCGCCTCTGCTGAAAGATGGGCAGAATCTCTGTGTCTTGATTTGAATGTAGAAGCAGTAAATCCCGAAATCTTTCTGTCAGGACAAAGAAGAAAACAAAACAAAAACAAACCCAGGCTGTGACTCTGCAGTACATGTTTATGCTACCAGTAAGCAAGCAGTAGTATCCGTGAATTCTCTCGTGCAGCACTGGTTAGCAAAGGGCCAAGCTACATTTACAACAAAGAAATCTATATATATTCATACACACAAAACTAAGACTAGAAATTACTCTTTCTTGTAAACCCTTTTACTAGTATTTCAAAATTTCATTTTTTAAAGATCTAGTATTGAATTCAAGTATGGCTTATAAATTTCTGAGGCCTGTGTATAAGTTTTCTGGGTATCAGGGACAGGAAAAAACCTTCCCTGTCTTGAAGAATTTAGTCTAAACAGAGTGAGAAATAACTAAAAATTCATCAGGCACTCAAAAATCACAGTAGTCTAAATGAAGATAAATTAATTAATTAAAATTAAATCACAATATAAGTCCTTAGGTAACTGATTCATGGATATTTCCAAGGAGGGCTGAAAGACTGGATCACTTTTTGTTCACAACTATGAATTTCAAAAACTGCACTGTAGGGTCATCTGTAATAGATAAGCTTTTTGTAACGTAGCTTCTCTGACCAGTGGGTTCAGGGGCAGCTGTTTTGTGCAACACGCAATGTGTAAGTGCGATCTGTAGGAGTTTCTATCAGAATCAATTTCTCAATTTCTGGAATATGGGAACCTGGTCAAAATTATCTCAATATCTAGACTTATGGATAGAAGGGAATTTCCTATTCAGGTCAAATCTCCTCAGCTTGCCCCTCAGCTCTCCATAGCATGGGACGCGCTCTGCTTCCTTCCATCATCTGCAACTTGTATTTAACCGGACATCTAGCAGCACGGAGAAACCCTGGACCCTGATGATACCCTTCCCACCTTTGCATCTCCTACTTTTCCTGCAATACCATGTCACTGAGGCTTGAAGGCTTTAGCTGCAGGTTTTAAGCCTCACTCCTTTGCTGAGCCACTGTTTGTAGTCTGTGGTGTGTGTAGTAGCTGTACCATGGCTTTCTCTAAACTAGCCATCTCTTCCATGTATGTTTCTCATTCTGGGAACTGAATTGTAGAACAAATATAGTCCTTCCTTCCTCTGCATTCCTAGGTATCTCAAAATATCCTCTAAAAAGGGTTTACAGATAAGGAAATCAAGGGAAAGAGAATTAACAAAGCTAAATCTTCCAACACCAGAAAGGAATCATAACCACCTTCCCACTTCTTGCAGTTTAGTATAGTTTTCCTAACATCACTTTTTAATGTAATATTGTGTCACCATAACTGCATCAATTTGGATACAATTCTGTTATGTAGCCGTTTAAATGAAAAAATAAAAAAACAACATACTTCATAAAATTATATTAATTTGAAGAATTTATTCTTCAAAGATTATTCTTCAAAGATATTTATTCTAATAAATTCAAAAGGTAAAGCATCTCTGACGGTCTGATCTTGTGTTTTATCAGCATGCTAAGATGTTTTGCAAATATCCCACAGAAAACTCCAGGATCCACCAGTGATGAAATGAGAATTAATACTTAGTATCTTCATCCCACATCTGTTCAAATTCAATTTTGAAAACGCCTGTACCTACAAAATTCTTACCACATCTTCAGAATCCAAGCTCTTAGCTTTCCCTGTACCTAACTGGGACAGAGACTGGATGTGATAGACAATGATAAATGCAATACTGTAAAGATGGAAATGAAATTCACTTGGCGCTTCTCAAAGAAGGGCCTGCTCATTGTCTAGACAAAAAGCTTGCCATTACAACTACTTTTTACCTGTTTTTGAACTTTTAGGAAGATGCAGAGATTTTTTTTTCCCCATTGTCTGGCATGTGGCAATGTGCTGCATGCAGGCATGCCCTGTCACACTTACAGATTACACGTTATGATCTTCAAAAGACACAGGACAAGAACTGAAAGATTTCAGGAAGCTTTAACTACTGCAAAATATCTAACTGTGTATGTGTCAGAGAGAACACTTTAACTTCCACCACTACCATCTCAGGAATCTTAGTGTATTTTTCATGCTTCCCAACACAAGTCAAGTTACTGGTGCCAGTCTAGGTACCCTTTATACATAGGCTTACTATGAACAGCCTTTGAATACACCTGGTGGAGGAGGGAGAGGAAGTTTTCAATGGCAAACACTGAACTATAGGACTTCCCTCTATGACTTAAGGGTTTTGACCTCCAGAACATGGTGCAAGTAACCACAATTAAGGATTTGTTTAATACAATGTCTTCTGGGTGTCTGATTTATGCATTTTTCAGGGCACATAGCCAGGTGCTATAGCAGTGGAAAGCACTGGGAGACACCACATTACATTTAAGTGTGTGAAACCATTTTGGCAGATGTTGCAAAGGGCTTACAACTCTTCAGGAGAGACAAAATACATCTCGCCAAGGGTGCAGACGTGTCCCATGCTGTTGCCTGCCTGAGACAGACAGGACCCAGGCTGAGAGCCATAGTCTACCTCCAATCTTTGTTCCCTGACTTTTTTTCCTATGCTGCTGCCCCTTCTCCGTGATCCAGGCCAGACAGATTCATTCCACTATTCAATTCAACAAGCTGCGATCTTGAAAATATTTTGAATAGTAATGTGACAGGGCTGGCCAGAACTGGAGTTAAGGCAGCCAAGGCATCTGAAACTGGCCTAAACAGCTCCCCTACTGGATCATGTTCTAGTTAAAGTCAACTGTTGTTTTGCTGTGTGTTTTTTTTTCTTCACTATGGCAAATTTCCCAGGCAGATGTGTTTTCTTTCCACCATATGACTTTACTCGTTTTTCCACAGCAACATTTATACTATATGGTAGCATTCCACCTCATCTCACATACATCCTACAACTTCCTCCTGTACATGTATCCTACATGTCCTGTAAATGCTCTTAAGAGAAACATCACACTGAACAGAAGCTTTTAGGATTAATTTATCCCGCAGGATCCTGATGTACACGATTCTCCCTTCAGGTCTATGATATTCCCATAGGAATATCATATCCCATTCCTAGGAAGCCTGTCCCAGCATCTGCCCACCCTCACGGCATAGGAATTTTCCCTCACACCCAGGCTGACCCTCCCCTGGTGCAGCTCCATTCCGTCCCCATATGTCCAGCCATCAGTCCCAGGGAGCAGAGAGCAGCACCTCCCTTGGCGCTTCTCTCCTCAGGGGGCTGCCAGGCGCAGTGAGGCCTCCTCACAGCCTCCTCCTCTCCTGACTGGGCACCCCAAGGCTCCTCAGCCTCTCCTTACAGCATATGCCTTCCTGGCCTTTTACCAGATTTGTTGGCCTCCGCTGGAGGCTTTCAAGTAACTTAAAGACGATCTTTTCTTTTAATCCATACTATAAGAGATGAACAATCTGAAAATTGATTAAACTAAGAAAAGCATTTTTAGACTACTTTTATTTCCAATCACTATTTGATCAAGAGACATAAACCAAGTCCCAGACAGTCTTATCGTTACTCAGATTATTTTAGAGAGACATGCTGCATTTCCTGTTCTTATTTATTATCCTTTCCATAATTTAGGATGTTGAAACATCTCCCATAATTGAGTGTTTTCTTTCACTTCCTACAGTTTAGTACATAAAATTATTTTTTTTTCCTTGCTAGGTGTTGGTCTGGTTTGTTAACAAAACATGAATAAGATTTACTCAACCGTGTTTTTAAAAACTTTTGAAAATCTGCAATCACCTTATCTTTCTCTCATTCAGTGGATGTATTTTGCATTAGTTTGTCTGTATTAGTGTCCTAATTATTATTATTACTATTATCAATAATAATTGATTTTTTTGCCACTTTGCTCAGTGTGACACTGTAGATGTCACTCTCACCAAGTCCTCCGTATGTCTGCCCACAGGTCAATATTCTCATCAAGAATGCTGAACATGAAGAATGGTTTCACAGTCCCGTCTTATGCCCAGACTTGTCTTGTCAACATACTGAGTGTCTCCACTTCTTTCTAGCTTTCATTTTAGGTCTATAGTTTCTTCTAGATCTTTGCTTGGCAAGAAGTCCTCAGTTAATTTTATGCCACCTCACTGGGATCGTATATGTTTAGCTGAACGTGTAGCATAGTTAACTGTGATGACTAGGACTGGATGTAGTAAAACAATCCTATGCCCTGTGAAGGTTGTAGACTATCAAGGAGGAGAGAAAGTTTGTCATGAAGAGCTTAAGAAATTTAATCTGTCCTCTGATACACATCTCTTCTTCCTCTCTCACATAATTCTTCTTCACTTTTTCACTCTTTGTTCCTCCTTTCCCACCTGAGCTCAAAATATTCACAAGTCAACTCTTGAATCTCAGAATAAACGCGTCCTAATATTACAGAATTACGGAATTGTAGGGGTTGGAAGGGACCTCGAGATCATCGTGTCCAAACCCCTGGCAAAGCAGGTTCCCTAGAGCAGGTTGCCCAGGTAGGTGTACAGATGGGAAATATCTTTATAAAATATGTTCTGACATAACAGTTTACCAACTTCCAAGGATAGAAGAATGCATTTCATGTGAAATTTTCCCTTTGAAATATTTATATGTATGCCAATGTTATTCTTAGGTAAGAATGGGTGTTATGTTTAGTATGGAGAGCAAACAATAACGTCAGAAAAACGTGAGCAATAATGGGTGCATGGTCTGAAATCCACTCAAACTGGCTATGAAATTAAGTTTCCTTTTTTTCTAGCATACACTGTTAGAGAGGTGGAAAGAGAGATGAAGGGAAATGTTATGATATTTTAGTATCATAAAGAAATATCAAAGAAAAATAATTTGTATGGAAGGTCCCTGTGAATTAAAACACATTACTATTGTAGACATAGATATCAGACATTACATTCTGTAGACATAGATACTGTCTCACAGGGAGCAGTGGCCTTGTTTTTCCAAGATGTCATGCCTCTGAAGCTCTAATTCCTTTCACACTTGCAAGATGATGCCAAAATAACTTGCCAAGTAATGCTCTCTGCAATTGTATCAGGTT